TCGATGGGCTGAATTGCACAAAACGCATGATCGCACCGGCTAGTCTGGTGCGCGTTGTCATTTATTGCTACTTGTTGTAGCGCTGCACAGCGAAGACGCACAAAAGTAAATTAAAGCAAATCCGGGCACAGGAATAGAAGCAAAAACAGAAGAAAAATATGAGCCTAAACCAAAGAAAAAAAAATAACAGCACGCACCAGAATAACAGGTGCGATCATGCGTTTTGTGCAATTCCGTGCACCGAACGATTGCCCGTCAATGATTTTCACTGCTTTGTAATTTGGTTTGTGCAGATATAGTTGAAACACTGAAAAATAGTCAAAAATTTCACGGACAGGAACGTGGAACTGGATTTGAAACCTCGAAGGGTGAATATCCTTGCAACATTTCAATTTTTTAATTTCCTGGCTCTCGCATAATTTTTGATACAAAACTTTCACGCGGTCGTATGCGAGACCTCGGCATACTTAGGAACTGAAGTCGAGATGAAGCCCCTGACTAGGAAGGAAACATTCTCTTGAAATTTTCAGCCTTCTAGCATTTCTGGCTTTCGAGATAACGATCTTTGTCACCAAAACTTCTGCAGGGATGTTGGAAATTTGCAGAGTATACATGGGCCTAGGAAGCCACGCTAAAATTTCAGCTTCTTAGATTTCGTGGTTTCCGAGATAATAATTTACCCGCAAAAATTTTCATTAGCCCGTAGGTGATACCAGGGAATGCAAGAACGCTGAATTTGAATTTGTAAGATCGTTCATGGGCAGAGCCTCATTACTCTAAAATTTCAGCTTCCTAGATTCCGTGGTTCCTGAGATAAAAATTTACCCGTCAAAACTTTCACGGGGTCGTACTTGTTACCCGCGGGCAGGAGGAAGCTGAATTTAGATTTTCTGGGTAGCACATGGGCGGAGGAAATGTCCTCAAAATTTCAACTTTCTAGCTTTCGTGGTTCCTGTGATAATAATTTTACCCACCCAAACTTTTGCTGGGCTCTGTGTATTCCTCGCAGATATGGCGAGGCTGCATTTAAATTTGCGGGGTCACATTTGGGTGGGGAACGTTACCCTAAATTTTTAGCTTCCTAGCTTTTGTATTTCCCGAGTTGAAAGTTGCGGAGAAGTTGCTGCGGAAAGATACACACACAAACACACTCAGAAAACCGCGTGACAATATTTGTTTTGTACTTCTGTTACACAGCACAAATTGCATAATAATTGGCCAGCTCCCGACTGCCGGTGCGAATATGCGTTTTTTTCACAGTTCTCCGCGGGTTTTTACCACTGAAGACACTTTTTTTTT